ATACTTCGGACCAATCAAGCTTCATTCCACTTTTTTTTTATTTTTTTATTTTCTAAATAACCTTGCCAGTTTTATATTATTTTATTTACATATATATCATCAAGTGCCTATAAATCACATAATATGCTTGAAATCAAGAACAATTCATTTTATTAAAATTACTAAACAAAGAATATGCAAGTGACACAAAGTCACAGATTCATTATTTTAATTTTTCTAAAAATACTCCTTAAGAAGTTTAAATAAATACTAAATTCCTTACCGAAACTTTGAAGTTTTTTCTACACCGTTCTTCTTTTCTTCCTCTCCTTTTTTCTCTAGATCACTCACTCTCTCTCTCTCTCTAATCTCTTGGAAGGTGGAAGAATGGAAGTGATTAGAAAATGGGAGGAAAGGCCCTATTTATAAAAAAATGGGGGTCATTGGATTTGCTTCAAGTGGCAAAATTTGGTGGAGAGAGTGTTGAAATGGAAAGATGTTTGATTTGACGTGGCATTAAAAAAAAGGACCGACGACGGCACACCCCAAGTGGTACCATGCTGTCCAAGGAAGACGACCGCACATTGCCCGAGGTGGCAGTGTGCCTCACCCAGCCGGTACGTGCTGCAAGCCTAGCCTACAGGCACCGGGCTACCCTATCGTGTGCAGGGCCTATAGTGCGCTGGGGTGTCGCGCACAGGCCTGTTGTGCGGACAGTGCATGCATAGTGTGTGGCACTTGCCCCCAATCTGCGCATGATATGACCTGTGCAGATGGGCCTACCTACACACGACAAGATGCACACGCAGGTCTAGCCCTGCGCCTCACGCGGATGGGACGTGCACTGTGCACACATCCTGCGCCTGTCGCGCAGGCAACCCTCACCTGTGGGATTTTTCCCCCCTCTTCCATTTTCTCTTGAAAATTAATTATTTTTTAAAAAATAATAATAGTGATAAATAAGAATAAAAGTAAATAAAAATCAAAATAAAATAAAATAATAAAATAGACATAAATTTACGAATTACGATATAGAGTTGCGAAATAATTTAAGTGAGTTAAGGTGGCCTTAAGGCTCGAATAAGTAGGGGGTTTTCCAAATACAATTTAGTGCGATGGTGAACAGAGTGTTATATCCCCTCCCCCCTCCCCACCCCCCCAAAAAAAAAATTTGTCCCCTAAATTTGTCTCAAATAGGTCCGGGAACTTTTTCCTCATCTTGCTTTCCAACTCCCACGTCGCCTCTTTCAAAGTATGGTGCTGCCATTGCACCTTCACCATGGGGATCGTCTTGTTGCATAAGACTTTGTCGGTCTATCCAAGAATCTCAACAGAGAGTTCCTCGTAAGTCATATCGACTTGTATTTGTGTCTCATTCTGAGGAATGATATGAGAAAGGTCAGGATGGTACTTTTTGAACACAGAGACATGAAAAACATCATATAGAACACAAACTCTTAAGGCAGAGTAAGGCGGTATGCTACAGGTCTAATGCGCTTTACGATATGAAAAAGTCCCACATAATAAGGGCTCAACTTTTCTCTTTTCCCAAACCGCATTTTTTCCTTATAGTGAAAAATCTTAAGGAAGAATTGGTCTCTAACGACGAAATTCATGGGTCTCCTACGATTATCACTATAACTCTTCTGGCAGCTCTAGGCGATAACCAAGTTCTTATGGATAATCGCGACCTTTTCAATAGTCTCCTGGATGAAGTTTGGTCTCAAATGACATC